GTGGACTCTTCTTCGCTTTTCTACTAGTATTCAACGGATCTACCCCACACTATTGTCCATCCCTAACTGTTGCACTGTGAAGCGGCTTGGCCATGTTGTTCTTCTCTATGCGACAGATGCACTATGACATTCATGCACGAGTGTACTATTCTGTTCCGTTGGGTTGCCCTCTTTTACTCTATTGGCCCATGTCCGTGTGGCTTCGGCGCCTGACTTGGTTACTCTTCTACTGGCCTAGCGTAGTTGCAAGCCATCAGTGCAGAATCGTTATGTCCATGTCTGGGAAGAAGTGCTGTCGATGTTCGAAAGACATGGGAGGGTAACTACAATGACTACAAGAGCCCTGCTTCCGGAAGGAACGCAGTGGCTCATGTGTGGACCCCGTTGGCATGGAGGCTTCACGAGCCTGGAACTCCACTCTCCGGACTGAACTCTTGTTGCAAAAACAGGTCGTGTTCAATGAACTTTGACGAGTTGCCCGAAATCCCAAACATGATTCCACGAGTCGGGCGCGACCCAGGACCAGCATCGCTCGTCGGTGGAAGCGTTGCGATGCAGTGGTCCCAAGCCTGCAAGATTTCTTTAGCTTTGTTGATCTTCTATGGTGCATCTTGGTGAAGTTGTGGGATGCTGGGCGTGGGGAATTTCAGGCGTGGGCTTGCGGCCACCGCTTTGGGATAGTCTTGTTTGAAAGGTCCTGTACTGGGTAGGTGCGTTTGAGCTTTCACTGTCCTAGGTAGTATTAGGTAGACCCCTTAAAGGGGACCCTTCTGAACCCTACTTGTGGCTCTCTCGAAGGGGACCTTCTTGAGAGGGTCTATATCCCCAGGGGGTCCCCCTAATCCTAACTGCCACTCATTGGTCGCAGAGCGACAGCCTTTCGACCGCTTCCTGCCGAGGCTGCCTGCTCCCTGCTGCTGTACAGCGAGGCACCAGGGCAGGACTCTGGACAGCTAAGCCTCTGATGAGGTAACGTATGCGCCTGCTTGCTGGGTGCGTACATCTACACTGAGCAAGCATCATCAGCGCGAGAGGCACTGCCTGGCAGCCCTACTGGCGGCTCAACGCAGGATGCGAGTGGGGGGCAGGTGAGGGTCTAGGGTGAGAGAATTTGTTGTTTTTTAGGCTCAGGGTTGTTGGGGTAAACAGTTGATAACAGCGTCTTTGCCTTGCTCAGTCAGTTCATCGACAGGCTAATTTATACAGCAGTTCAACCACGTCGTCACATGGCACTGTACTGCGGCAGTTTACAGGTGCGAACCTGGCAGGAACCGGACTTGATCATTCATGCAGCACGGGAGCACGAGCTGCAAACATGTGCAGCAGCGAGAATCACCATTCCGGAAGAGTGCACTATTACGATGTGACAATGGCACAAACGACAGTATGACAATATGGTCATATTGTCATACCCCGAAATTAACGCACATATGCAATGAGTGTCTGTTAGGGTGTTGAAGAAAGTGATACAACCGTATTGCACAGCTGTTTGGCCATGCCAGGAAGAGCGCTTGTTTGACATACAGCGCAATGATATTGGAAATGCTGAACTACAGACGTCGTTGCTGCATAAGTATTTAGCCGCATTGCCATGCTGCTACATAGATGTATGTGATGTCATAGCATGCTAAGCTGCGTTGGGATACGTTATGTTATAATATGCTGCTGTAAATTATATTAAAGCTGTGCAAAGCTTTGCTACACTACGCTCTTCTAAATTACGTCATGCTATGAAAGGTTATGCCGCTGTGCCAAACTATCTTACACCATGCTAGGTTTTGTTGTGTTGTCTTGTCTTGCGATGTGTTGCGTATTTATTGTTTGTATGCATTCATTTGTGTCTGTCTGTCTGTCTGTCTGTCTGTCTGTCTGCATGCATGCATGCATGCATGCATGCATGCATGCATGTATGTGTGTATTAATGTGTTCAGGTAATGTAAGGTAATGTAAGTATTTACGTCATCAGAGCTACAACCCACATTGATCCATGTCGTACCTGCATTCAATGTCCGCAATATGTCTGATATCCTGCACGACTGCTTGGTGTTTGGGCCGCGGGATTCCTCAAAATTGTACATATCACTCACGTCTACTACCATCCTCCGTGTATGTCTTAGCTGCGTGGCTTTGCCACACAATTGGGTTTAGGCTCTCGTCGTGTATGGTCGGGCGTGTGAGCACTTAGGCAACTGAGTCTACCTACCTTTCTGGAACTGCTTCCACCACAAAGGGCGCTGAGCTTTGTCAAGCGCTTCGCCAGCGCTTGGGACGAGAGGGTCACTCAGCTTGAAAGCCAGGGCAAGAAGTTGCAAATCCCTACATGAACCATGCATTGAAGGCAGTGGGCATATCATGCTTCTCTGCCACCGGACTCTGCCGATTTGTGTGTGCCCGTCAGATACCCCATAACATGAATACTCAGGGGTGAGAGAGCTACGGTTTCTGTGATGGGACGGCCGGCTGTGGCACGGTGTGTATGAGGTTGGGAGCAACGTCGTGTGCACGCCAAAGACATGCTGCAGCGGCTGAAGGATGCTCATGAGGCCACCGCTACCCCTGGGTCTCTGCCGTGCTTTATTCCAACAAAGAGTGCTCGTACCTCTGAAGAGGTGCCGCCTCGCTTCTACTCCGTGCTACAGCGGACGGCCCGGTCTGAGAGCGTTCAGAGTCCAGGGCTTCTGGACTTCGGGTAGTTCAGGACCGAGCCTCAAATCGGAGACTGCTCCGTGTTTTAGTTTTAGCTTAGGAATCACGATGCAAGTCGCGACGGTAGAGGACAGGAGTGCCAGGAGAAGGGAGGCATGTCTGGGCTAAGCCGCGTGCAGTGTTTGCGGCGTTTTCTGAAGTTTTGAATGCAAGAGTGCACACACACACACACGCACACATACACATAGTCTCTGCCAATAGGATTTCCCAAGGCTCCTTTTCTCCGAAATACTGGACGACCTTTGCCTTGAGCATACGAGTGCCGCTAGACTATTGTCGTCAATCACGTGCAGACCCGAATGCCTGACAACTCCAGCCTTTGACGGCAATACTGTAGTCTTCATTACGACGACTGCATCACACTGCCAGAAAAACTTCCCAAAACCTTTATCAACTCCTACCACCCTTACACAGGGCTTTGCCCCAGAACTGGCAGGTCAGCGTTGCTTGCGTGCACAAGGATGGCTGGGAACCTGGTTCTTCGAAGCCCTGTCCAACCTGAAAGACTAACATAGCGGCCTAAGCAATTAACTGCCAATACTATTTTGGAGTGTTCCTTATTATTGTTATTATTATTATAGTCTACTAGTTATACAGTTATACTTTTCTGGTTATTACACCTACAGCAGTCATTGTGGGACTTAGGATTCTACTGCACTTATTCTTGCGAGATGCGAAGATGGAAAGAGAGTGTACTGTACTCGCTTCGTTCTGAGCACCTCATAGGCATCAACCAGCGCTTGGCTCGAAGGTCTTTCCAACAACTGTTTGCTGCAGGTTTCGAAAAGTTCAGTTGTTTGCGCATGTGTGGGTCCTTTTGCAACGACAGTGCTACCAGAGTTGCATCCTCATTCCGACCTGTTTTTTCCGGTCTGCGTTCAAAGGAAGGTCCGCGGGACGCAGTCCTATCTAAGTCTGATCTTCTACGCCCACTTTAACTTGAGTTTCACCAGTTCTAGTTCGACCCGAAAGTGGGCGCTTCCTTGGCATAGTTAGCCAAAATTTAGCCCCTCCCAAGAGTACCCTGTCCTATCTTATCGCCTCCTTTGCGGCCTCATGTCGGAACTCTATCTTCTCCTGTGCCGTCTTGCGCAGAAGCATGCTCGAGCTTGCAACGCACATCTGGAAGCACCAGGATTTTCCGACAATCTTCGGTGAAGTCCAAATTTCCTCCGATCCCCAGTCCTACCCCGCTACTATGGCCAAGGATTTGGAGCTCCTAAACCTTAAAACCCATTTAATGCCCCCAAATCCTAAACCCTAAGCCGCCTAAGCCATCTGACCCCCCTTAAAACCCCCCCTTAAATCCCAAAGCCTAGACCCTAGCCCTAAACGCTTAAGAGCCCTCCAAGGCCCCCAATGAGCCCGACCCAGGCCCGTCCTCAGAGCTCCAGTCTCTCATTGCGGCCACCGCAGCCGCAGTTTGCCGCTGCGATCCGGAGGCGCGGCTGGCATTGAAACTCGGAGGCTTAGGGGCCCTAAACCCTAAACTTCTACACCCTAAGCCCCTAAGCCCCAAACCGTATTTCTGGGCATTGAGGGCTGCAGGCTTGGGCCCGTTTCGTGTCTCGGATGTGTGCAAGACTTTGAGGCTGGAGGGTCGCAGTGTAAGAGTTTCTATCGGTGCAGCTATTGTAGGTATTTCGAGCGTTGTTCAGGAGGCGAGCTCGGTTTGGGGACTTCATGGTTGACTTCCGGCTTCTAGGGATTTGGCTTGCAGCGCAGATCCACGGCTTTGCCGTTGCAGAGGTTGTCGAAGCTTCAAGGCAAGTTCTTGCCGCGTGGATTATTTCCTTGCCGTGCCAAGCCCCAGTCAGCATAACAGTGCAGATGTGTAGCAACAAGAGGAAGTTGCTCAGGACCATGTTCAAACAACAAACTCCGTTCACAGTAGTTGACTGCATCACAAGTCCATGAATGCCTTCCTCTGTCTATTCGTTGCATTCTTGCCGGGAGCCGTGTCTTCCACTAATGTGCTCTGAGACCAGCTCCAAACTCGAGAGCGATCCCTTCCTGGCGAACTCTCGCGCTTCTTGCCCGAAGCCAGGGTTCCTGCCCTATTTGCCTTGCGAGATGGACCCCGGAAGACAGGTCCAGGGGCTGGGGGCCTGGGTGGTGATGTGGAGGTCAAACATAGGCGTCTAAATAATTACCTATACTATTTTGGGGGTTCCTTACTATGATTATAACCCCAAAAACCTACATAAAATAATTAAGGCCCCTACATTAGGCGGTTTCAAGCAGAGCGGGCTAACGTGCAAAGTCGACACAGCATCAGCTCTCACGCCAAGCAGTATTTGGATGGGTTACTAGGTCCCTGAGTGGTACCCTTTTGCCCTTTTTATTTTAGGGCCCCCTTATTAAAACCGAATAGTAGGAAAAGGGTACCCTTATTATAAAGGGGCTACTCAGGAACCAAGGTTAACACGTTGCAACCTCGCTCCATTGGCCCCGGCACACAGCTTCTGCTTGTAATTCTCAAGGTTTGCAAAGTGCAGCTGTTAAGGGGCAGGGCTGGCCCACATACTGCTCCGGGGCATGTGTGTCAAGATTGAGAAGCCTCGAAACTCCCAAACCCCTTTAAAATATACTATAAATAACTACAATATAATATAAATATAAAGAATAGTATAATAAGTAATATATAATATAATATATAATAACTCAACGAGACCAGACCCCAGACTCGAAGAAGCACTCCCAAAGCCTTTACGCCGGAGTTTCGTGGCAGCTTGATCGTCCTGTCTTGCCACCACGTCCTCCACGTGGACTGCTTTTGGAAAGTGCTGCTGGGATGGGAAAAGGGTCTGACACGGAGGTTCTGGTGCATTAGTTGTCGGAAAGGTTGCGATGCGCGACTTTCAGGTGATATGAAGTGACGTCTTCACTTTCGTCTGCCTGTGAACCAGCTTTAATCACCTCTTTGCAAAAGAGGAAGAGGCAGCTGATTAGTACCTAAGCGAGATGTGCTCAGATAATCAGCAGGACCTCAGATGGCATCAGGCCTTGCTCCCCTGTGCTCAGGATTATGTCTTCCGGAGCCGAGACTTTACGAGGAGCGCAGCTCCTTGATGCTTA